CCACTCATCATACACCACTCATCAAACACCACTCATCATACACCACTGACAATACACCACTCATCGTACACCACTGACCATACACCACTCATCATACACCACTCATCCTACACCACTCATCATACACCACTCATCATACACCACTCATCAATACATCACTCATCAAAACATCACTCATCATACACCACTGACCAAACACCACTCATCATCAAAGGAAGTTTAGTGTGCGAAACGTCCGTGTTACGGACGTTCAAGAACCGTTCATACACCACTCATCAATACATCACTCATCATACACCACTCATCATACACCACTGATTATACACCACTCATCATACGCCACTCATCAATACACCACTCATCATACACCACTCATCATACACCACTCATCATACACCACTGGCGCAGCACTTTGTGAACCTCCATGTGCAGAGTTCGTGGCAGGCACAGCACTTTGTGAACCTCCATGCGCAGATTTCGTGGCAGGCACAGCGCTTTGTGAACCTCCACGTGCAGAGTTCGTGGCAGGCGCAGCACTTTGTGAACCTCCATGTGCAGATTTCGTGGCAGGCGCATTACCGTGAACCTCCATGCGCAGATTTCGTGGCAGGCGCAGCGCTTTGTGAACCTCCATGCTTCTCCAAAACTACGGGGAAGCTCCGTGGAACGACGGTTGCGAGACGGTCTCGGGTCATGCTCGGATCATTCTCGGATCATGCTCGGAATCGTCCCTCCATTGTGATTAGAGGTTTCAGTTGTTTCTTGAAGTGCAGATTTCGTGGCAGGCGCAGCACTTTGTGAACCTCCATGCGCAGACTTCGTGGCAGGCGCAGCACTTTAAATTTGTGAGCCTCCATGTGCAGATTTCGTGGCAGGCGCATTACTTTGTGAACCTCCATGTGCAGATTTCGTGGCAGGCGCAGCACTTTGTGAACCTCCATGCTTCTCCGAACCTCGACGGGGAAGCTCCGCGGAACGACGGTTGCAAGACGGTCTCGGGTCACGCTCGGATCACTGCGGATCTCACAAAATGCTGCGCCTGCGCAGTGAAATCATCCTCCACACTTCAACATCTTACATTTCCACACGATTCCTCGCTATTTCACACGAATCTGACGCGTCACGTTTTCGTCCGAAACCTTCTCCAAAAGCTTCCCCAATGGCAGCGCCTTAGCGCTCTACTGCGGACGTCTGGGGACGGTTGCGAACGGTTGCGGAAATAGAAACCCCGGGTCGCGAACAAGGCTCTACCCCCAGACCCCGAGAGTTAAACGAGAACCCTTCGCTACGCATTCGGGAAAAACAAAGACTTGCACCCAAATGCGGGAAATAATTTATATAGAAGCAAATCAGGTGTACACACAATTAATTGGATCCTTTCGGACGTTGTCCCGTTGTACTTGAGTGAGAACGGCATTTGCGTGACGAAGGCGCCTCAATCATTTGCGCTTGGATTGTTTGAGGAATTAATTGGAGTTTCCATGCTTCCCACTTCTGTAGATTATCAATCAATGCAAATCCGGCCGTCTGCCTTTAGGGCATGGCTGCATTTAAAAGTACGCCATCTACAACAAGCAAATCGGCTTTTGAACCCCTTCGCAATGCTGTTGCTGGAAGTGAAGCCAAACATCGTCTGCTATGAGCACGGCGCATTCCAGAAGTCTTGACGCATGCTTCAACTTATGTAAGTCGTTCGGCCTCAATCGGTTGGATACACAACTCATGAAAAATATGCATTTGCCCAAAAAACATAGTTCACAAGTTGTATCACCCTGCTGCCTACCCCCACCGACAATTACAACATCTTCTTTTCCATACGCTGGCCCTTCTCCAAACTTGCACCCGCAAGCCGCGCTAAATTATATATGAAAAAATTGGCTAAGCCGCCGGGTAGGTAACTAATGGCCCAACTTATCCTATCAAACGGGTGGTTGTGAAAGAAGTATGCCAAAGACCTAGCGGCTCGAGAGTATGAAACCAAAGCGCGGTGTGAGTCAGAGACTTGTGTACTGGGGATGGTTCGAACGTGTGAACGAACGAAAGCGGTATAGCGAAGGCGCAGGAGCGAAAGCAACGAAGGTACCACCGGTCACAGACCAGTGAGTACGGCGCCGTGTGAAAACAGCACTGGCGCGCGCTGTTGTCGTTGAGTCCAGTATCCAGGGTCTAGAGGATCAGGTTCAGGTGGGGTGGCTTGACGAAGGGGTCTCTGGGAGGAGTCGGTTAAGACGGCAGACCTAAGCCTCATGGGCGGCACGGTTACGCACGGCCTCAACTCCTTCTGGCTCATCTTCTTCGACTTCCCACTGTTCCTTGTCAACTTCGGGATCTGGACTGTATGGGACCTCTTCCTCCCGCGCAAGCGCGGTTTCACCTTCTTCGCCTGTAGCAGGCACACCCTCGTCAGTGTCTGGCGCGGCTTCCTCCTCTGCGGGTTAATCGATAGGGTCATCCCCTGACTCTTCAATGTTGAAAACGGTCCGGTCCGATGGGCATCAGTGGCTTCTTGCGTTTCCGCGACTTCGTCAGCGGTTTCACGAGAGGCAGTGGCACGCTTTGGGCACAGGCGCGTCGACAGGGATGGGAGGCTTCTCCCACCTGGAGGCGGGGAGAATGGGTTGCCTCGGGACCAAAGGTAAGCTCGAGGCAGAGGCGGACCCATCTTGCAAGGGGATGAAGTTGTAATGATTTTTTTGCGTTGCTCCACTTGATGTACTCTTTGGGGCGTGTAGCGGCTGCACCAAGATCAAAATTCAGGTAAAATTGCAGCCCGCGCGCGAAGGTGTTCCTCTGAGAACAGGCCCTCCGAAGGGGTTTGTGACCATTGCTCGGCATGATGAAGAACATACCTATACCATTCCGGATAATTCCTTCTGGCTTGTATTGGTTTGACAAATGGGGTTTCGGTTGAGGGTCCGGGACACTGGCACTAGCCTCATCTCCTTCGTCTTTGACTTCGGCCTCGAGGTCTTGGTCACCCCCGAAACTTCCTCTTCACAGAAGACAGGATCGGATCCGGCAATTGGGTCAAAGGGGTTGTTGCGCTGATGGGACGAGAGCGGTGGAAGTTTTGCGGCATCGGTCGAAGGGAGTGCATGGGACTCTTGCTCTTCGGGCTCTGCTTCAGGCTTGTCCTTTGGCGCGGGCGGAGGATTGCAAAGGCGTCGAACTGTTGCTCTTCGGCGTTATTAGGGCCTAACGAATGAGCATCCGCAGAGTCTCCGCGCAAAGCAGCAGTTCTCTTGGGAGCTCAGCCGCGATGGAAAACTCGTGGATGGCGCTAATCGAAGGCTCGGTTGGGTCGCGAGGCCAGCGGTTTCCGAACCTGTCGGAGTGAAAGTGGTCTAGAGGAAGAGATACCCGACGGTGCACGGGGAGCCACAGCAGGCGTTGCCACTCCCCCAGAGCAAGCTGACGCTTCTTGGTTCTGGGGTTCCTCAACGGTGCTGATGCCGCGGGAGCGGCGGCAGGTGTCGATGAAGAGGCAGCACCTGATTCCTGTGGTTGAGGACGGACTCGGCCCATGACTGAGGGTTGCAGGAGTTGGAAGCGTGCTGCAACAGAGTCAAGGGCTTGCGTATTCGAGCGGATACGGCTGATAACCAATGAATTGGCTAAGCCGCCGGGTAGGTAACTAATGGCCCAACTTATCCTATCAAGCGGGAGGTTGAGAAAGAAGTATGCCAAAGACCTAGCGGCTCGAGAGTATGAAACCAAAGCACGGTGCGAGTCAGAGACTTGTGTACCCGTGGTTTGGTGGGGATGGTTCGAACGTGTGAACGAACGAAAGCGGTAGTGAAGGTGCAGGAGCGAAAGCAACGAAGGTACCACCGGTCACAGACCAGCGAGTACGGCACCCTGTGAAAACAGCACTGGCGCGCTGTTTTCTTGAGCCAATGTGGTCGCAAACGGGATGAACCCGTTGAACACCCTTGGTGACACGCGACTGGTTGAATGTACGTGTAGCGAAGATGCTGTTACATACTGGGGGTACATAAAAGTTGACTATGTATATAATATACCTATTCAGAACTTTCCGGCAGGTCTGCTACGAGAAATTTGACATGCATGAGGCTGCTCTTGAATCGGCCAAACCATGCACAGCACTCAAAAATGCTCAAACTGTTTTCTAAACTTTCCCTCACTAAATGCAATTGCCTTTCAAACTTTGATGCGATGTTGCAAGTGGTCCTGCCATGTCGCAGGCCACGCCGAAAGCGCACACCCTCCTCGACGTCAGGGTCTGCGCAGAATGAGAACTCCTGCCAGCTAACACTATGAAAAACCATGCCCCCCTAGCCAAGCTAAACTGCTTTCCTCAATCAACTTCTCCGGGTCCATGGCCGTCTTGGCAAAACATGGTCTTGCCTCAACAGCCTCAAACCTCAGCAAACTTGCCACAAGTCAACTGTGCAACACCCTCATCTGGGCCAACCCAGCTTAGCGACTGAACGTATTCCACCGGCAGCTCGAAGAATCAATGCACTCTAATGGCATGGTTTCAAACATTGTCTTTCAAACCGGAACAGGCAGCTTTCATTTCAACTCCACCCGATCGTTGGCAATGGTCAGCCAACTCAGAGAAACCGAGCTCGACACCAAACTTGAAGCCGTGAAAATGCTGAGGGGTCAAACTTCCCTGGAACAGCGCACTCCCAATGTTGGAATATTGAATCAATCAGAGCAAGCTCCCAAACAAGAGAGGCTGACGGTAGGCGCGGAGAACTGTGCACATTCGTTGCCACCACGGCGCAAGGACCTTCGAGCACACGCAGGCCGCAGGCCCCTCCAAACATGTCGCGCAAATGGGTTGGATGCCAACATTGGCGCGTCTGTGGGCAAGCTACCAAATCAGCCATGCAGAAATCACCTCCAAGGAAAAATGGACCTTAGACGGACTGCTTTGCTGAACCTCTCGCTTTGGAAGAAACAAAATGGCAAGTGGAACTGAGGCTGGCCCAGCACAAAACATGATTGAAAGGTAAAACATCGCCACAGATTAGTGATGGGGGACCCTAATTGTAACTTACAACTTCCTTCATTATGAGGGTCAAAATTGTAATATTCAATCTTTTTTGAGGCGTCAAACATGTAATGTTACATTTTCGACCCCCCAGCTTACATGTTTCCCATTGAAATTTCACAGGATCTACTGTATTACACCTGTAGACCCCCTCTCCCCCTACCACGTTCAGGCAATTTTAGCTAAGTTACACTTTCTGGTTTTTGCACCCATATATTGAAAATGTAACATTGACATTAAATCATTAATTTTCGAAGGCTCTTTCCCATTAGAAATTTCCTTACATTTCCTTTCATGTTGCATCAATGTCCTTTATTTTCCTTTCATGTTCCTTTCATTTGCATGTATTCCTTTCATTACCTTTCATGATGTATTCATTTCCGTTCATTTTGCATTTGAGTCCTTTCATGTGGTTTTTCATTTTGCATGCATGTCCTTGAATGTTTCTTTCCTTTTGCGTTCATATCCAACCATTTTCCTTTAAATTGGTTTAAACAAATATATAAACAATGGGTTACTTTCACACATGGCGCCCGCTGCGGGCGCCGCGTGTGAAAGTATAAGCAATTGTGTAAGGGTAACATGTGCGATCTTTTTGAACATCGGCCAGCCAAAAACCATGACAACCCCATGATTCAAGTCTGCTTCTGTTTTGTAAAAAACAAATATGAACATTTGCCTACTTTCACACATGGCGGCCGCAGCGGGCGCCCTGTGTGAAAGTAAACTTGAGAGAGGAGGGGGGTGAACGAAAGGTAGCAGGGAATCAGGCGTAATCCGGGAGGAGGTGAGAGGCCCCCCACTTGTTTGAAGAGAAGTGAGTGGGCGTGATGAAAGAAAAACTAATGCACAAACGCTTGACAAAACCTCCAGAAGCTGTAGCGGTCTAGCGGTTTCAATACAGGTTGACGTGCCTTCAAAAGGAGTCACATATTTCTCAAATGCAACTTCGGATTTACATAGTGACGTGCGGCGACCCTGTAAATTGCGTGGCCGCAGGCCATGCTTGCAAACAGGACGTGCTCAAAAACACTGGTATTTACGAGGTTTCGTTGCCGTCGATCCACAGCCGCGGCAAGGTCTAAGGCCACGCTTGAAGACAGGAGGAGCTGAAAACACTTGTATTTACGGTATTTTGTAGCCGTCGATCCAAAGGCGCACCACGGTTGAGCGCTGGAAAAGCGCAGAAAACCATGTAAATACCGGCGTTTTCTGCCGGGAAGGTGCGCAAAACCCTGTAAATACCATAGTTTTGTGCAATTTTGAAGCCGCCAAAAGCCTCAAAAACCCCTTTTGACAAAATCTTTCCAGGTTTTTGGTCTTTTTTCGGTCATTTTTCTAACCGAGACGCATCAAACACCATCGGTTCTTGCGGTGTTTTTTGCCGGACAGCCACAAAAAACGCTGTAAATTCCATGATTTTTTGTCACTGCTGAGGACTGGAAGAGCTGAAAACACTGATATTTACAGTGTTTTCGAACCGTTGACCCCGAGGCGCGCTAGGGTGGAGTTGAAAGGGGGGGGGGGGCCCCCCCCCCCGGCCACCAAACGAAGATGTCGGGGACCATTTCTCCGAGAGATAGGCTGCAGCTCTGGGTTAATACATTTTTGCTAAAGCAAAAGGAAAACTCAGGTAGCGTAACCGCTATCTTTCGTGACAAGTGTGTAAGGGCAATCAAAGCCGGGATCGATTTGAGCCTCTGTTGTCCTTGTGGTCACCATTTGACCGTACGGGCCTGGCATGGACACTGATCTAGCTTTCATACGTCGCCTTTCAATCTTTTTGGCGCATACCACTGCTTTAGAGGCCTCAAAAAATGTAGCTTACATTTTTGTGGGTTCCATTTTCTTCGCGCGTTTCAGCATTTTCCCTTTAGACCTTTCTCCCTTTTCTTGTCCTTCTTTCTTTTTTGCTGCCTAGATGTCTTCCTTCCTTAGTTACAACTTGACCGTGGGGGCTTTGCATGGCCACTTCTTTCACTGCGTTTCCCGCGCGCAGCTATTATTCTCGCAAGGCAGTTATAAGCAAGATACTCCGCACACGGTTCCTTGCAGGCCAACTCTGGGGACTATATGTAAAGTGTTCATCCTCGAAGAGCCACAGGCCTCCAAAGTGGCCCGTGAGGCGTGACCATCTGTAGCCGTGACAAACACGGCACAGTAGGGCTGAAGCGTATTCCCATGTTGTCTTTCAAGTTCTAGATGCATCGCACTGCTTTAGAGGCGTCCAACAATGTAGCTTACATTTTTAAACCATTCTTCCTTATCATTTCTACTTTCTTCTTAGATACCATTGGACCCTAGGGCCATCACCAGGTACCTGACCGAGCTGCTCGTGGGAAACTGTTACAGAATTTTACTGCTGGTGTCCTTCTTTTCTTTATGTTTTCCTTCTTTTTGAGTCACCATTGGACCGTAGCGGCCTGCCAGTGAAGGGAAGGCGAAGAGTTGTGAAAAAAACAATGAGAAAAAACAAGCTAGACAAACCGTCAAATTTCCTGAGTTACATTTGTTGACCCGCCCGCCCTCATCAAACACGAAAGAAAAAATGTAACTTGGAACGTCCCCACGTATCAAGTTACATTGTCCTGATTTATAGCCTACCCCCCCAGGGGTATGCCCCGCAAATACGTGGGAGGGGTCAAGTTACATTTCTTTTTGGATGGGGGTGGCCAAGAATGTACTTACATGACACGTCACCACCCCCAGGTTTTCCTGGTTAAAGGGGTGGCGATAGTAGAACAATAGAACATGGTAAAGCCTTCTCAAAGTCACAACTTTGTTCATACAAAGTCACTCGCCGTGTTATTTCCTCTCTGCAACATAGCTGAGCCAGCAGCCTTTTGCCAATGGCGCCATCGCTGCCTGTCACTAACATTCAGATCGCAAACACAAGTTCACCTCGCTGAAGGTCAAAGCGCCTCAAATTGAGCCAGCCCGTGCAACAAATCCTTCAAGAATGAAAATGAAACAAGCGAATGTCCACAAACGTAGCTTCTCTGATGAAACAGTTTGGCCAGTGTGACTTGCCTGGCAGCATTGCGAAAATGCGTAAATGCGGAACACAATCATTTGGGCGCCCAGATTTGAGGTGGGAATGGCAAGCTGCATTGTACATGTGACGGGCCATTTTGTCGGTCCAACTGACTAGAAATGAGTCGAGAGGTCTGTGACTACATGCGTTGGCGTTGCGCTGGTCGTAGGGTTCCCCCCTTGTCTCCAGTTGCGCTGGGTCGCGTGGGTCTCCAAATGTCTTCGGATGTCGTGGGTTGCTTAGGTTGCCTCTTTTGCCGTGTCAAGCTCCTTTGCTCAAGCAAAACCAGCACGCTTGCCCTCCAGCAGCGGACCTGAACGTGTGTCGCACGCTGATCGACGTGGCTGCTTTGCCTCTTAATCGGTGCTTGAACCGCTTGGTCCCCACATCCAAATACACCGCACAGATTCAGCACTTTGATGAAGCTGAGCGACCATTCTGCTTAAATACAGGAGCAACAACATGAGCATTGCGTGTCGTCGTCATCATCATCATCATCATCGCGAGAAAGAGAGGTTTGAAGATGATGCGCGTGTCTGGATATGCGCAGGTGCGGCGACGTGCAGGTGTGAAGATATACGCGCGACGATGATGACGACGGCGATGATGACGATGATGATGACGAATGATGACGACGATGCTGACGATGATGACGACGATGACGAAGAAGAAGAGGAAGAAGAAGGAGGAAGAAAAAAACGAAAACGATGATGACGACGATGCTGACGATAATGACGAAGATGACGAAGAAGAAGAAAATAAAAAAAATGTACTTTACTTCGAGTGATCCCCACCATGACATTTCAATCATGTTGATGCCATAGTGAGGAGCATGTTGCCATGGTCGTGAGTAGTGTAGTTCTCGATTTTGCTTGTGGGTCCTCGGGTTGTGTGCTGTGGTTGTGTGTTGTGGTTGTGGTCACGCGCTGTGTTGTGGGTGTGGTTGCGTTTTGTGTTTGTGTGTTGCGGTTGTGTTTGTGCGCTGTGTTGTGGTCGTGGTTGTGTTTTGTGTTTGCGATTGTGCGTTTGTGGCTGCGTGTTTGTGATTGTGTGTTTGTGGCTGTGTGTTTGTGATTGTGTTTGTGGTGCTGGTGGTGGTTGCGATTGTGTGTTTGTAGTTGTGGTTGTGGCTGTGGCTTTGTTCTTGTGTGTTTGTAGTTGCGGTTGCGGTTGTGTCTTTGCGGTTGCGCGTTTGTGGTGTTTGTGGCTGCGTTTGTGGTTGCGTGTTTGCGGTTGTGTGTTTGTGGTTGTGCGTTTGTGGTTGTGGTTGCGCGTTTGTGGTTGCGCGTGTTGTGGTGTTTGTGGTTGTGTTTGTGGTTGCGTTTGTGGTTGTGTTTGTGGTTGTGTGTGTTGTTGTGTTTGTGGTTGTGTGTTTGCGGTTGTGTGTTTGTGTTTGTGGTTGTGTGTTTGTGGTTGTGTGTTTGTGGTTGTGTGTTTGTGGTTGCGCGTTTGTGGTTGCGCGTTTGTGGTTGTGTTTGTGGTTGTGTGTTGCGGTTGTGTTTGTGTCTGTGGTTGTTTGTTTGTGGTTGTGTGTTTGCGGTGGTGTTTGTGGTTGTGTGTTTGTTGTTGTGTTTGCGGTTGTGTGTTTGTGGTTGTGTGTTTGCGGTTGCTCGTGTTGTTGCGTTTGTGGTTGTGTGTGTTGTTGTGTTTGTGGTTGCGCGCGTGTTGTTGCGCTTGCGTGTTTGTGGTTGTGTGTTTGCGGTGTTGTGTTTGCGGTTGTGTGTTTGCGGTTGTGTTTGCGGCGGTGTTTGTGGTTGCGTGTTTGTTGTTGTGTTTGCGGTTGTGTGTTTGTGGTTGTGTTTGCGGTTGTGTGTTTGCGGTTGTGTGTTTGTGGTTGTGTGTTTGTGGTGGTGGTGGTTGCGCTTGTGGATATGTGTTTGTGGTTGTGTGTTTGTGATTGTGTGTTTCTGGTTGTGTTTGTGGTTGTGTGTTTGTGATTGTGTTTGTGTTTGTGTGTTTGTTGTTCTTTTTGCGGT